ATTAAAATAATATATGCTATTTATACTATAAAGACATAAATAGAACAAGAGTCTGTGATATATAAATAAGTCACAATTCCATATCAAGTTAGTAACTCAAAGAGAAAAACCATTACAAGGAAAAGTTATTACTTGCTACTTGGTTCTGTTTCAGATAGCATTGTTCTTTACTATTGATATGGCTACACCTTAACTACTAATCAATGCATATATGTTTTATCACAACACATTTTTTCAGGTTTTTTTTTTGCCTGGGGCCAGGTTCTGAACCCACCACCTCCAGTATATGGGGGTGGCACCCTACTCCTTGAGCCACAGGCGCCGCCCTACAACGCATTTTTGAACACTATAGTTCTAAAACTTGATGTTGACTACATGGTTTCTTTTAATGCTACAAAATTAAAAGTAATCATCTGGGGTTATTCTAACAGGGAAAAAGATAATCACATAAAGAAAATACAATATTATAACAAAATAGGTAATTAAAAACGAGACAGATATAGTCTTACTACAGATATGCTTTCCCCTTCTTAGAAACAGTCTTTATGCCTCATGATATACACTGCAAGGCTAGACAACATATCAGCAGTACAAGTGGTATGTGTGCTACTCTCCAAGAGCAGTATTATTTGTACTTAGTATAAAAAAACTGATTGTAGCCTGGCCATAGGATTCATATCTAGAAGGCTTAAAATTCCTTTGTGGTCAGCAAAGTAGCCTACCCAATGTTGAATGTTGATGATAGATATTGACTATGGAATCTTTGCCATGAGTTCAAGATAAAAATTATACTTTAAAAATTAAAATATAAAATAAAATATAATAACAGCTTGGTGCCTATAGCTCAGCAGCTAGGGCGCCGGCCACATACCCTGGAGCTGGCAGGTTTGAACCCAACCCAGGCCTGCGCCTGTAGTCCCAGCTACTTGGGAGGCTGAAGCAAGAGAATTGCTTAAGCCCAAGAGTTTGAGATTGCTGTGACCTGTGACACCACAGCACTCTACCAAGGATGACATACTGAGACTCTGTCTCAAAAAAAGAAAATAAATAAAATAAAATACAATAGTAAAAGATACAAATAAAAATATAGAATAACATCTATTTACATAGCATTTACACTGTATTATTATAAGTAATCTAGAAATCATTTCAAGTATATGGGAGGATAGGAGGTGATATGCAAATAGTACATCATAAGAGATTTGAACATCCATGGGTTTTGGTATCCTTAGAGGGTCCTGGGCCCAATCCCCTACACATACCAAGGGATGACTGTAATACATATTCTGGATATCAAAAAGGTTATGACTTTAAATGTGAAATTCCATCTAAAGCAGTGAGAAATTATACTAGCAACTAATATTACTTGAGTATGTATATGCAAGATGCAATTTTTAGATACTTTTATTTAGTCCTAAATTCTTCAAGGTACAAGTTATTATTTACAGAATATCTAAAATTCTTAGGAAAAATTCTATTACTTTTAAACATCCTAGGAGAAAAAGGGTAATGTTAGTGTCAACAAGATGGCAGAATGGAACTGTCCAGTGATTGTCGCCTGACAGAAACATCAATTAGAATAACTATCCATACCCAAAAGTACCTTCATAAGAGGTAGGGAAGTCAGGTCTCTAACTATAGCAATATGGCTGGGAGTCAGGAGTTACATGAAAAATTACTTTTAAAGATTTTATGAAGACAAAAGGAAAACTGGTCAACTGAAACTAATAGATTTTCTTAAAAATAAGTGAATTGGTCACTGGGTGAACTGGCTTTTGTTTAACTGACCTAGATCCTAGTTCTACTTAAGCCTAGCTCTTCTAAAGGGTGATTGCCAAAATTTCATTTGGAGATCGCTGGAGCCCAACTATGATAAATTTACATAGAAAATGATCTGTCTGGTACCCATTACATGTGTATAATCCTTCTTGGTGTCAAAAACAAAAACAAAACAATAAAACTAAAAGGAAATTCTACCATCTGAGACCACCACCAGATGGAATTAAAACTAATCCTTGATGTATCACTTGAGAGGAGGGTCATTATTAGCGATATTTTAAGCACTGTATTGGGAAGACAGTAATTAGGATAACAAGCCAGAGTCCACATACGAGAACAAGGAGTAGGGCTCAAAGTGTAGACAAAAGCAAAAGTGCAAAGCACCCTCAGTGCCTGCCCGAGGAATCCAATCTCACAGGCCACAGACAGCCAACATGAGGGGAATGAAAAAGGTTCACCGGCTCAGCACCTGTGGCTCAGTGGCTAAGGCGCCAGCCACATACGCCCAAGGTGGCGGGTTCAAATCCAGCCTGGGCCCACCAAACAACAATGACGGCTGCAACCAAAAAATAGCCGGGCATTGTGGCGGGCGCCTGTGGTCCCAGCTACTTGGGAGGAGGAGGCAGGAGGCTCGCTTGAGCCCAGGAGTTGGAGGTTGCTGTGAGCTGAGATGCCACGGCACTCTACCCAGGGGGACAGCTTGAGGCTCCAGTCTCAAAAAAAAAAAAAAAAAAAAAAAGAAAAAGGTTCACCTGCTGATGAATAAATAGGAATAAATTTGAGAAGCAAAAGCCCAAACATGAAGAAACTATTAGGTATCCCCTGGATCCAAGCAAGACGAATGGAGATCATGAAGAGAGACCCGCAAACTTTTGGAGATAGAAAGGATTTTAAATTCACCTCCTACTGCCTCCAAAAGGATTTAAAACTTACTTATTTCCTACTGTCTCTAATTATACTAATATTGATTCAAAGAAAGACACAATAGGATTTGATAACTCAACAGATATTGAGGGAGGAAAATTCGGATTAGGGATTAGTTTTCAATTTTGAAATCTGAGTTTGAGAGACTAGGAGAATAACAGCCCACTATAAATACGTATAAAATAAAATACTTTGAAACTACTGAAACAATATAGAACCTCCAAATACTTCCTAAATTGAAGTTGAACCAACACCAAAAGTTCCAGGTGTGTGGTGCCCTGGTTACACACTCTCTGCCTCTCTGGCGCTTCCCTCAACTCTTCAGTACACACATTCCACCACAGTCTACCCTGTTGCCTTCTACCTGACTCCCCTTTTAGGTGGGTACACTAGTATTCAAGTCTTTTCATACCCTATTCCTATGGTTTTGTGATACCCTAAACCTGCCGACCCCCAACCCCTGGGCCAACCAGTACCTGTATGTGGCCTGTTAGGAAGTAGCTGCTCCCCATCACCTCCTAAATTCCACCTCCTGCCCCTCCCTTGTACCCCCTACCCCTGGGTCCCTGGAAAATTGTCTTCCATGAAACTGGTCCCCAGCACCAAAAAGGTTGTGGACCACTATTCCAAACCACAGCTCTGCTCACTACAGAATATAAGAGAAACACATCAATTATATCTAGACAGCTGCTGGACAATATCAACAGCACATAAAGTTATGTGCTTGATATGAGGAAGCATATAACCCCAGACTCCAGGAGATCTGTGAGACATGCAGTGACACGGTGCTGCCACCCACGTCAGAAACCACATGAAGCCTTTTTCAAACTATCTTTGTACAATGTCAAAATACACACACACAGAAAAACAACCCCAACCACCCTGATCAGATTAAATTACCAACAATTATTTCTTGAGGTCAAGTATGTTCCTAAGGCTTACAAACTTATTTTACACTTCAGCATTTTTACTTTAAATGTATTTATGTGACTTCTCATTCTGAAAGGGTTTACAGTCTCTTGCAAAGATGTAGCAGAAACAAGATAAAAATCCCATAAAGAATCTCAAGAGGAAGAGAAGATAAAGATGGGGTGGGAAAGAGAAACGAAAGTTAAGATTAGTACCCAAGCACACGTCACAAGATCCAGGCCACTTTGGTAAAGGAGGCCTGCACGTTTGTTTCTGAGATTCTTCAATAGCCAGGCAACAAAGGCAGTATGATCAGCTACACAGTTTAAGATAGAAACACAAACCTAGTCTAAGAAAACGACACGGATTCCCTAGACTGAGATCTGACAGAACTGTCTCCCCGAGGTGTTTATAGAGAGGATGCCACGGAACACAAAGTCCTCAATAATTCTTCCTGGAGAGAACCGCAGTTTCCAAGAGTTGTTTTGTAAGGCCCCTCAGTAGAAGCCAATGGCTAAAAGCCCAATTCAGAAAAAGCAGAAATCAGAAAAAGAGGGGCTACAATGATATGTTACAAATTCCCTGATGTTCTGGATTACATAAAAATATGTGTTATAGATTATATATAAATTTAATAAATACATAAATTATATCCCAAACATAAATGGCTTACCCTCATTTTTCTTAAAGTTCATAATTTTATGAGGAAAATGCTATTATTTCTTCATTTTATAACTCAGAAAATGAAGTTGAGAGAAGACCCGGAACCAGAACTGGTCAAGGTTGCACAGCTGGCCAGCAGCAGAGCTAATACTAAAACTCTGTTCTCTGTGACCCTAAAACCCACGTTTCTGTATTTTGCACTAGCTGGAATATCTTCTCCCATGAGCATATTAAAACTGCTCCATGGCTTGGCGCCTGTGGCTCAAGTGACTAAGGCGCAAACCACATACACTTGAGCTGGCGAGTTCGACCTGTTCCAGCGCGGGCCCACCAAACAATAATCACTGCTACAACCAAAAAAAAAAAAAAAAAGCCAGGCGTTGTGGCCAGTGCCTGTAGTCCCAGCTACTTGGGAGACAGAAGCAGGAGACTCACTTGAGCCCAGGAGTTGGAGGTTGCTGTAAGCTGTGATGCCACGGCACTCTACCCAGGGCAACAGCTTGAGGCTCTGTCTCAAAAAAAATAAATAAATAAAATTAAAAAACTGCTTCATGACGGCACATACTAATAGTTTGAGCCTAAAAACTTAGAAAGCAGATAGCATGGCTATTCACTAAAGCTGTCATAAGACATCTTATTTCAAGCAACAGAGTATGTGACAACCCTCCATGACGAACAAACTGCAACTTGTCCTTTCAAGTTACTAAATGAACTAACTTGTTCAATTCTTGGCAATATTGTAGAAAGAGAAGGGGGGGGAGATGATTTGGATTTGGTAAACGTGACTTTAAACCTTCTTCTGCTAGTCATTACTGAGCAAGAGAGGTTGTTCATTAAGGCCACTCCTGAGTCATGACAATAAAACCTTCATGCATTTACAAAACAGGTAAAATATAAACAAGCATCCCACATCTTGCCAGGGAGAGAGGGAACACTCTATCAGTTTATCTGTCCTCTATTGCTCTCTGACTGGTTTTCAACTCAAGAAGAAGAAAAGAAGGCGCTAGTTATTAAGTTTTTACAACTCTTAACAATCATGGGCATTTTAAGACCTAGTTTCCAAGGAATTCAAACTACAAAAAGTTTATGGAAAAGAGGCAGCTTCTATCTGAGTTATAAAGACTCTTTCTTTTTTCCACCACTGCATTTTTATTACCTCCATGTTTGAAGCAATTCATGACCAGCATAGTGCTCTGAGGATATTTTTTACAACAAATGAAAGCATTTAAGAAAAAGGCACATGTTCCTTGACTAGGTAAGATATCTGCAATGCCCCTGCTTGAGGCCTGTCTCCTTCCCTTTTGAGAAGCAGCCCCTATAGTGAGTGACCCATACTAGTACCCTAGAAACATTCAGCAAAGCGACCCTAATCTCCCTGCTCCCCTCTCCCCACTTCCCCAGCAGCTGGGATGAAGGCAACATACTCCTCATGGGTCATTTGATCTTGAGGTCCTTCAAGGCTGACTCCAAGCTCTTCATATCCCAGATGCTCTACCCCCACCCATGCCAGTGGCCCTGCCCCACTGAGCATAGAGATCTGGCTGATGCTGTTCTCGTGCAGTGAGTTGAGGCCAGCGCCTGAGGACGCGCCACCCTCCGAGCTCGCCTTCTTGTCTAGGTTCTAGAAGCGTTCATGGGCCGTCAAGCCCTGCTGAGAGCTCTGCTTGGGCATGTCCAGCTGCCCACTGAAGCTCAGTGTCCCTGCTGTGCTATCATAGGTAAAGAGCACTGGGAAGCAGTTGTGGCCCACTGCCACCAGGCTGTTTTCTGTGATGAAGGTCAGTGCCAGCAGCGGCAGCGTTTCAGAGGTCAGGGTTGCAATGGCCATCTTCTTGTCAGCATCAGCCAGGCACACAGTGCTGTCATGACTGACCCAGACCTCACAGCTCCTGCTAACTGAGAAGCAGACGCCATGCACCCAGCCACAGCTACTGCTGGATTCAAACATCAGCTCCCCAAAGGGCATCTTGGAGCCCCAGGGTGTGGATGCCGGCCTCTCCTCCACCTCCTTGATGTAGGATGAGAAGATCCAGCACTTGAAATCACAGGAGCCTGCAGCCAGGAGCACGTTGTTGGGGTGCCAGTCCAGGCTGAGAACAGTGGAGCAGATGGGCTTCTTGATGTGCTTGCACACCCACCAGTCATTCTCCTGCTCAGAATAACGGATGGAGATAACACAGGAGCCACTGCCCACAGCGGGCAGCCTGGTTAATCTGCAGGATGACCAGGGCTGGCTTCCATGTGCAGCCCTTCAGTGTCCACACGTAGGCGTTGCGATCTGTGCCGCAGGTTGTGATGCGGTTACTCTCAGGAGCCCAGTCGATGCCTGTCACCTGCCCATTGTGCTCCTTGAGCTCATGCACCTTGGTCCACTTGGTCCCACTCTTCTCATAGATGTGCACCTCATGGTTGTTTGGGCAGATGGCAATTTGGGTGCGGTCCTTGTTCCAGGTGTGGCAGCTGATGAGCTCCACCAGGAAGCTGTGGTAGGCCACGGCCGCTTGGCTGCTGCAGGATCTTCGGCCGTGGACTCTGGGCAGTTGACGCGACTAACTGGCTCTGACTGACCCTTCTTGAATAGAAGCCCCGTACATACAATGCCTGTTTTATCCACTTGGATCAAGACAAGTAGGGTCAAATAAAAGAAAAATTCTGCTGAGGGAGCAGAGGAAAGTTATCAGAGATGTGGAGAAAGATGAAGGGAAAAAACCTCCTATGAGCTTTGCTACATGACGTGAGATGCCATCACAGCTCTGGGGCCAGTGGAATTTGAGCAGACATGAAAACCAGGTGAATTCTGCCCTGCCAAACACTGAAAAGATCCTAAAAGATGTAAGACAATGCCACTCTTCTATTTTTGATTTTTCCTTTCTTTTGCAGTTTTTGGCCGGGGCCAGGTTTGAACCCACCACTTCCGGCATATGGGGCCAGCGCCCCACTCCTTGAGCCACAGGTGCTGTCTGATTTTTCCTTTTAAAAAAGTTAATATGCAGTAAGTTTATTTTTTAAAATTAATTTTAAAATACATTAGTATTTTCTCAGTTTTATTTTGTGATATTATAAATAGTGATAGATATAATCCACATATACAAAGGCTCTTTACAGTCCTCAATAACTTTTTTTTTTTTTTTGAGACAGAATCTCACTATGCTGCCCTGGGTAGAGCGCCACAGTAAGCAAATAAAAGGCATTTTATTTATTTTATTTTTTTGAGACACTCTGTCACCCTGGGTAGAGTGCTGTGGCATCGTAGTTCACAGCAACCTCAAACTCTTGAGCTCAAGCAATCCTCTTGCCTCAGCCTCCCAAGTAGCTGGAACTACAGGGGCCCACCAGAATGCCCAGCTATTTTTTGTTGCAGTTGTCATTGTTGTTTAGCTGGCCCAGGCCAGGTTCAAACCCACCAGCCTCAGTGTATGTGGCCGGCACTGTAACCACTGTGCTATGGGCATCAAGCCAAAATTAAGTTTTTTGTTTCCTCAGTAACTTTTAATCATGTTAAGGGATATTCTTACTTTTTTAAAATAACTGACAAGTTCAAAGTGTTAAGGAATCTTAAGACCAAAAAGTGAGATCCACTGACCTACATGATGAGTTCCTTCCTCCTCATTAGCACCCATCATCAACAGGCAGGCCTAGCAAGTCAGAGGTGCTTTAAACATTTCCGTAGTTCTCTAAATTTGCCATATAAAGTTAAAACAAGTTCTAACAACATCCTAGGTCTTCTATCATCTTTACAACCTATTTTTCTGGCTTTCTTTCCCTTTATTCCCTTTTATGTTTATCACACATTTTAATCTACTCAAGAATTCCTGCCTCTTTGAGTGCCTTTTCTGTCCTCCAGTCCTCCCGTATCTGCGTATAAACTCTATGCTGCCGTGTACGCGGCCACACCATCTACTATCCACTTTCCCTCCGACGTACATTTGCACTCTGTTGTTCACTTTTCCTAGCTAGCTATTTATATCCACGTATGTATTTCCATATTTTATCCTACTCACTTTTTTCCCACTGTCACCCTCTTTCATATATGTACCCCATCTATCTTACCAGTGATTTTAGTGGACTCCATTCATTAACTAATTAATGTGCTCTTATCTATCCACTCACTAAGTATGGTTTAAACATGTCTGTCAATTCATCTAAAAAACTAAGTGTTTATATTTCACCAAGTTACATTTCTAGCTCATTCATTTGCCTGTATGTTTATTCAAATAAACTAAAAATATTCATAAAAATATTCAAATCTGAACTTCAGCAACACTGAATATCCAAAAGCACTTAACAATGTGACCTTCCATCTATCCAGAATCATTAGGAAACAATATACTCCAGTTAATATAATACAATGTAGTTACCTAAGAGTCACATATATACAAACTGACAAAGAATTACAATGCTATAAAATGAACAACACAAAATAATACTGAGTATCACTTCACTCTTCTTCCATGGTTTAGAGACTAAGGATATGTCAGGATCTTGCAGTGTTACTACTTTATCACCCTGTGCATCAGCTACCAGGAAAGAGACTTAAAATGCCTTCAAGAGCACAGTGTCTTATCCTTCCATACTTCCTCTGTATTGCAACTGGCAGACAGCTTGGCACATAAGAGAACCATAAATACTTGTTGAATCTCATATAATCATTTTGTCAATTAACTTATCTCCCTAAAACAAGAGGAGGAAATCCAATTTGATTTGCTTGAATTTTCCACTGATTTAAATTCTAGGTCAAAGAGAATTATATAAATGCTTTCTGATGATAAACAATATCAATCTTTTGAGATGAAAGAGCCGCATTTAAACAGCAGCAATGTAACTAAATATTTGGCTGTTTGACAAGAATCAGAGCATATGGAGGAAAGAACCATCAGGCTATTAGCCCAGACGTTTCAAGCAGAGGTCAGGAGCCTAAATGTCTTGGCCGGAGTGAAAGCTGCTGTGAAGAGCCCTGAACGTGGAAGGGCTGGATCAGATAGGAAAGTTTTAGAAAATCTAGTGGCAAGAAGGAGAAAACACACAAAAGCATTCAAATGAAAAGTGAATCATGCTATTGTATCCCAAACCAATGACACATAGAATTGAGCTTTGAAAAGTAAAAGCCAAGATTGAAAAGCTCAACAGAGAACTTGGAAATCATACAAGGTGACAGGGGACTTGAAAAAGACAGCCAAATAGAAATTCTAATACCAAAACACAAGCAAAATTTCGAACTCAATGCATAAGTTTAATAACACATTAGCTAAATAGAAAGTTAGTAAAGTGGACACCATTCAGAATAAAGCACCAGAAACAGAGTAAACATATAAAAGTGAAAATAAGAGGCAAAGCTTAGAGTGAGAATGTATAACTTGTATTTAATTGGAGTCCCAGAATTAGAGGAGGAAAGGGACAGAGGCAATAAAGAGATAACGAATAAAAATGTCCCCAAACTGATAGAACATCATTTCACAGATTTAAGAAGCTCAGTGTGGCTCGGCACTCATAGCTCAGTGGTTAGGGCGCCAGCCACATACACGGGGTCTGGCGGGTTCAAACCTGGCCCAGGCCTACTAAACAACAAAGACAACTGCAGTGGAAAGGTAGCTGGGTGCTATGATGCACATCTGTAGTCCCAGCTACTTAGGAGGCTGAGGCAAGAGAATCACTTGGGCCCAAGAGTTTGAGGTTGCTGTGAGACACCATGGCACTCTACCGAGGGTGACAAGGTGAGACTCTGTCTAAAAAAAAAAGAAAAGAAAAGAAAAGAAACTCGTGGCTCAAGTGGCTAAGGTGCCAGCCACATACACCTAGGGTGGCAGGTTCGAATCCAGCCCGGACCCGCCCAACAACAATGATGGCTGCAACCAAAAAAAATAGCCGGGCATTGTGGTGGGCGCCTGTGGTCCCAGCTACTTGGGAGGTGGTGGCAGGAGACTCACTTGAGCCCTGGAGTTGGAGGTTGCTGTGAGCTGTGATGCCATAGCACTCTACCCAGTGGGACAGCTTGAGGCTGTCTCAAAAAAAAAGAAAAGAAACGAAACTCATATGTAAGTACATAAAAGTAACAAAGTAAGGTACCTTTTACATCAAAGAAGGTACCTTATAAGGTAACCACAAACAGAAAATTTCATGAGCAACCAGAGGAAAATAATATGAATTATATCCAAAGGAACAACAGTTAGAATGAAACTACCTTCTCTACGGCAGTTCACAAAAACAATATGTTGTGTTAGCTGGGCACACGCTCACTGTGTTAATCCTAAGACTCTGGGAGGCTGAGGTGGGTGGATTGCTTGAGCTCAGGAGTTTGATACCAGCCTGATCAAGAACGAGACCCTATCTCTACTAAAAATAGAAAAACTGAGACAAGAGGATTGCTTGAGCCCAAGAGCTTGAGGTTGCTGTGAGCTATGATGCCACAGGACTCTACTAAGGGCAATAAGAGTAAATGAAACTGTCTTAAAAAAAAAAGTGAGTGTTTGTTCCAACAAAGCAAGAGTGGTTTAACATTTGAAAATCAATGTAATTCACCCTACTAACAGAGGGAAAAAAATATCTCCGAAGATGTCAGAAAGGCCAAGCACAAAAAGCATAATGGCTCATGCCTATAATCCTAGCACTATGGGAGGCCAAGCAGGAGGGTCACTTGAGCTCAGGAGTTTGACACCAGCCTGACCAAGAGGGAAACTCCCATCTGTACTAAAAAAATTAAGAAAACTAGCTGGGTGTTGTGGTGGGCAGCCAAGTCCCAGCTACTCAAGAGGGTGAAGCAGGTGGTTTCCTTGAACCCACGCGTTTGAGGTTGCTGTGAGCTAGGCTGATGCCAAAGCACTCTAACTTGAGCAACACAGACTTTCTCAAAAAAATAAAAAAAAAATGCAGGAGAAATCATCCAATGAAATACAACAAACACTCTTTCATGATTAAAATGCAACCAAAAACTCTCACAAACTAGAAGGAAAAGAGAGCTAATAAAGCTTATCTCCCCAAACCTACAATGACGATATTTAATAGTGAAAGCTTTCCTTCTGCAATGAAGAATCAACTAATGAGGCCCATTATCAGGTCTCCATTATTCTGGTAGTATTAGCCGATTCAATAAGGCATAAAAGATATCAAAGGTGTAAGGATTTTAAAAGGAACAAAAGCACCATTATCCACAAATGATATGATTTTATACATGGAAAGTCAAAATAAGAAACTGTATAGGTGAATCCATTTTCTTTCCACATGTATTTCCTTATATTGGCCACATCTTTTATAATTGCAACAACAAAAAAATTAAGTGCCTGGAAACAAGTCTACTAAGAGATGAACAAGACCTCTACATAGAATTACTGGAATTAAAAAACAAATGCAGAAATAATGCAATATTCACAGAATAAAAGACCCAGTATCAAAAGATGTCAATTCTCCCCCAATTTATCAGACTCTACAAATCCCAATCAAAATCCAAAGAGGTCTGTGTGTGTGAAGATAAGAGTTGGGGCAACCAGACAGGTGATTCTAAAACTTGTAAGAAAGTGTCAAGAGCCAAGAATAGCCGAAATACCTATAAAACCTTGGGAATACAGATGGTATTAGAGCAAGGACAGATAAACAGCAACACAGAACAGAGTAGCAGGCTGAGAAACAGACCCACATGTGTATGGTCAGCGATTTCCGACAAAGGAGCCTAACAAAACGGTGGAGAAAAGTTGGTCTTTTCATTAAATGGTCCTAGGACAAGTGGATAGCCATAAGGAAAGAAATGAAACTGGATTCCTACTTCATGTCAGACACGCTCGTCAATTTGTAAAAGGCAAAACAACGAAGGTGTTAGAAGATCATATAGGAAAATATCTTCATGACCTCAAAACAAAGAAACCTGCAAACATTATAACCTAATCATTTGTACCCTCATAATAACCTGAAATAAAAAACAAACAAACGGGGGGAAAGCAACATACAGAAACTGAGAACATTAAAATTATAAACTGTGAAAAGGCAATTCCATGGAGCAAGAAAAGATATTTGCAACTCATACAACCAACAAATGATTCAAATACAAAAATTCAAATATGAACAACAAATCAATAGAAAAAGATTAGCCATAAGAAAAATGGGCAGGAGACATGAACAGGCACTTCACATGAGAGAAATAAATACCTGCGGACAATAAACTTCTAATAAGGTTCCAACCTCTCTTTTAGGGAAACACAAATTAGAACCACAGTAAGGTAACATTACATACCCAGAATGGCTACAAATTAAAAGACCCACAATACTAAGTACAGGCTAGGATACAAAACAGCACTGCTATAGGAAGGAGCATTAATTGTTCCACCTTTTGGAACAATTTGATGTTATCTGCCAAAGTTGAAAATAGAAATATGCTGTGACCCAAAAACACCATTCCTGGGTACTGATCCTTCAGAAATGCATAAATATGTGCACCAGGAGATGTGCTATTTTCATAGAATTATTACTGTAATGCTCCTTAACCGGAAACAATCTGTGTTCCCGTATCAACATTAAAATGGATATTACGGTATATCCATGCAATGGATTACACAGCAGTGAAAACCAACAAATCACATACAGTAATATGAATTAAGGTGACAAGTGTAATGTTGGGTAAAGGAAGCCAGACACA